AATTTTATTGGATAGTCAACATGGTTTCACTAAGTGAAAATCTTGCCTTATAAATCTTTTAACATTATTTGAAAAGGTTACTGCCCACGTAGATGAGGGTAAGGGTATAGATTTGGTGTATCTGGATTTTCAGAAAGCATTTGACAAGGTGGCACATAAAAGGCTTGTAAAAAAACATTAGCTCTATAGGTGTGGGGGATAAGGTAGCAAATCTGATAGAAGAGTGGCTGGATGGAAGAAAGCAGAGAGTTGTTACAAATAAAGTTCAGTCAAACTGGATTAATGTCACAAGTGGGGTACCTCAGGGCTCAGTCTTAGTACCTTTGCTCTTTTTGATTTTCATCAATGACATAGATGAAGGGATAGTCAATAAATTACTTAAATTTGCAGATGATATTAAGGTCTTGGGTGTTGCTAGCTGTGAAGAGGATGCTGCTGATTTAGAAAAGGATTTAGATCATTTAGTGAGTTGGGCAAATAAATGGCAGATGGGTTTTATTTACAATAAATGCAAGATAATGCATGTGGGTTATCATACTTTGAATTATAAGTATAATTTGGATGGGAATAACCTTAACAGTGTTATGAAGGAAAGGGATTTTGGTGTAATTGTTGATCAGTCTCTAAAGACATCCAAGCAGTGTGCTGTTGCTAGTGATAGCGCAAATAAGATTTTATGTTGTATCTATAAAAATATTGAATACAAGTCTAAAGAGGTTATACTTTCATTGTACAGGTCACTGGTTAAGCCACATTTGGAATATTGTGTTCAGTATTGGGCTCCTTACCTTAGGAAGGACATTGAATTGTTGAAAATGTTTCAGACAGGGTTTTTAATCATTTTAATTTAGTTTTGAGGATGGAACAGCCGAGATGGACCAATAAGTCACATGTTATAACTACATACAGTAAGCTTACATTGCAAAAACACCCTATTGCAGCCACTTAAAAGAACTGTAGCTAAGTTAAGTAAAAAATCTTTAAAAGTTTTTAACACAAAATTATTGATTAACTAAACACACGTGATAAACATAGTAACAAATAAACAGTAGAACAGAACAGAGTAACACTAATAGTTTAATTAAAAATAAATATGAACCTTAAACTATGACAAAAGGTTACAACAGGGTATTGTCAGTCATAGTCACATTTTTTTAACAACACTGTTGACATAAAATAAGTCTTGAGGAGGGGTGGAAGTGGGAATATGATGGTGCTCCTTTTAAAATGGTCTGCTCCAATGCATGGAAGAAGCTTCCACATACAACAATTTGGTGTTTTTCTTTTTAATACAACTTTTGTTTGAGTAAAAGTATAACTCAGAAGAGCAAATTTTTTATGTAACATCTAACATATGATAACTATTCAAATGTTGTCATACAGTTTTCTGTTATTAAGAGAAAATAAAATTAATACCACTTGAATATAACATGATGAAACTTTAAATATTCAGAACTATCTCTGAATTCCTGGGTAGAAAATGAATCTTTGAAAATTTGAACACAGCCCTAATATACAGATATACACACACACATACTTACATATACAACAGCACAATATTTTTCAGCATAAATAAGAAAAGTACAACATAGAATCCTTCACAACTCAGAACGTTAAAGAAGGATAATAGCATTTATTAAATAACACACAAGCAAAAGTACCCATCCTCAGTGACGGGAAAAGTTAAAATTAATCTAACAACAGTACCCATACATTGTGATAGGAAAAGTTTAAGTTAATCTATCAAATTTAAATTATTCATGGACTTTAAAAAGGTTAATTGTGTTGCACTCTTGGTTTCACTCAGAGCCAAAGTTCTGAACTACTTATACTGCCCACCAGGAAAAATAGTTGTTGAGCATTTCAGTCATGCTAAGAGCTACTCAAGAATAACATACGATATATCTACATTTTTATTCTTTAAGTTACATCACATTTTGAAATGTAAATGACAGTGTGATTAATTCCTAACAATTTAGTGTAGAATATCCTGCTTGTGAAATAAAATTTGTCATCAACATTATTAATGTTTGTTTTCCCAGCACTTCAAAAGTGAATGTTGAACTTTGCCTGCATAAGCAGCTTTTCAAATGGGAGACAGATGAATGCTCAGACAGACACCACAGTTCACAATATATATATATATATATATATATATAAGATTACATGCCATATTGTTTTAACCATTTCTAGCTATTTTATCTCAGCGTGATTACAATTTAACACTGTACATCATAAACTTGTAACAAAGTACTTTGCAATGGGTTCATTATATATATATTCTTTAACAATTAGTAAGAAATGTTTCAATAGTAAACTAACATATTTAAACAAATAATAAGAATTTCTTGACTACAAGTTGCAAGTTACTCAGCTGTTCAGTAACAAATACATTCTTGTGACTAGCCTAATAATCTTTTATCACATACTAGTACATTAAAAGTGTTTAATTGCAAATAACTCATATATCAGTTCCTATGCAAAAATCATCCATATGCCTCTTTCACCAAATGGAAAGATATTTATAAAAAAAATAATTGTTTAATAATTACCATATGATTAGCCTTTCAAATGGTAATTAGAACAAGAGTATTTATTCAAATCTAAGGTACTGAAATCAGCACCATACCTCTAACTCATCACTTGATATAGACTGAAGTAAGACAAGGGCCTCTTCATCTGTTAGTGGTATCTGCTGCATTTCAGCTGGAATTTAACCTGGGGAGTAGTATGAGTGTTGCTTACCAATATAAATCATCTCCATTATCTGTGTCTCTGGTGTAAAAAAGGTTAATATTATACATAGTGTATTATTATATGGTGTATTTGTACATTAAGTATTGTTGTACAATAAACAATAATACAGTTTCTGCTTTTCCCTTTGCTACCCTTGACAAAATAGTCTTTCAAGTTTTCAAACAAAACATTTATCAACTTATGATTAATCTGCAAAATGTATAATGCCTTTTCATCCTTGGGCATTCTCCATGTGAATAAATAGATACATACTTATAAAGTTTAAAACTTGAGGCTAGACTAAGGTCTATATAAAATAGGATGCCTATGTTTACTACAAGGTTTAGCCATAAAGGATTCATATTTTGAGTTTACATTAACCCCAAAAAATTTATTAAAAGTAGATAGTTAGCAATGGATAAGACACTCATAAGTGCAGAGTAGAGATAAGACAAGGGCATTCATATATATTTAATATTATTTGAAAGCATTATATAGAATCTAGCACCCAAAAAAATTATCATTCTAAGCCTTTATGAAACTTTAACATTTCAAGTGTAAACTTAATAGTCAATTTACCATATAAATAACATTTTAAAAATGTAACAGGCTGTATAACTGTTACTGGCTTCCAAAACAGTATGTATTAGTTTTCTAGAAGTTTTTTTTTTTTAATGATGAGAAGAATTTTTACTATAGTTCTTCCAATGGGTTGGAATATTACACATAAGAAAATAACAGTATATAGTATATTTTATCTTTTTGTTTTCATTATCATCATATTACACTGCTTCTTGTTACAAGTTCCATTATAATTACTACATCTGTGCACATCATTTTCCATAATCTTTCTGATAACGTTGCATGTTTTATTTATTGATGCATACTTAAGACAAATCTAATATGTTTTCTTTGCAGAAAAAAATGTTTCGTATTAAGTTTCTATCTAACAGTTTCAGTTTGATCAGCAAAATAAACTAAAATAAATAGCCACTAACATTGTAATTTATAAGCATGTGTGTTGCCAAAAAAATGTGCACCATTTTAGGATACAAAGATGAAGGAATACACATTTAATTTTATTTGTTTTGCCCATACCTAAAGTAATACGTACTGGCTAAAAACACTAATTTTATCGCAAGTCGTTGTAATTGTTCTACACCGAGTACTACTAAATGGTAACAGTAACACTGTAATTTGTAATAATTATTACTAATCTAGACTATGCTATGCATCTGTTCATGATAACAATATTAACCATCTCAATACTAAGTTGCAAGAACTAAATTCCAAACAATGTAATGTTGTATTTCATCATAATACTAATTACATTCAAAATCAAAGTATACGATACAAAGAAACACTTCACATAAAAATTCTTTCGAACCGAACAAAAATAAACAAACGTAATGTTTGAGTACAGCCCACTATAGTTAACTGTAGAGTTGTATAAATTTGAACATTACACAAATTGCAAATTAATAGCAATTACATGATAAACACGACATCTCGGTGAAGTTTAAATATTTGACACAATTTTAACAAATAATAGCATAAAAAAGTAGCTATATCATGTAAAGAAACCTTTGGCAACTAGCGCCACACAGTCTTTGGAAATTGTTTTATTTTAGGTGAAAAAAAATATTGCGTATTAAATTTTATGCTATTTTACTTTTAAAACGTTAAAGTTTTAAGTTGGTTACTTCTGAGCTTTAAAAGATAATGTTGATAGTCTCCATGGTATCTTGCTCATCCTTTTTTATATGCTATTTTAACGAGAATATTTGCCTCAATAACACTTTTATTGAGATAATGACATTGTTTGACTTACCAACTTTCTTGATGTTTGAGTCAAGTTTTTGCAAATTGTTCTTACGTCATTTAAAAGTGCAAAAATTTACAAACATTTTATTTGTAGCTTTAATCGAACTAGCTAAAAATGCTAAGTTTAAGCATTTTTCTTACACTAGCTTAAATCAAATATATTTTCACCAATTTATATCGTACTTTAAAGTTTTTTGTGCGAAATTTTCCAAACAAAAAATAAAAAATATAAGGTAGTTATTTTATGTGTTTTAATTATTTTCAAAGTAACATTTTTTAATAAATTATTTTTTTACTTTTCAATATTACGTAAGTATTCATATTTGTTTTCTCGTACGTGACAATATGTTTCGTTTGAAAAAACAGTCCCTAAAACCTTTTTCAGTTTATGTGTGTGGTACTCATATGTTAATCAAAATCAGAATTTTCCATATGCACACCTCCACATATTAAAATAATGTAAACAAATAGCATTGGCAACGTACAGAATGTGTTGGATCACGTCTCCCTGAAGTTAGATTAATGAAAATAAATTGTTCTATCATATATTCGTTGTGTTTCTCCAGCTCATTTTGAATAAATCCTTTCTAACAGTAATGAAGTGCTTCTTTCTGCATTTTTTTATTATTATTTTCATTTGTATATCAAACCAGTATGGTTTAAGTTATGCTTAACTTTAAAATGTATGTATAACATGATAGTTGCAATAACCACTGTGATAAGAAAATTATTATGCGAACCTGGCGTCAAGAAATTTGTTTTTAATAATATGTCATCGATGATATTCCTTGATATTTTTGAATATCCTGTGTAAGACTTCTGAGCGAATGTTCTCCGAACAAGAGTACAGAGGGCATTTACAGCTGTGTGGCTGTTAGCTTCATGTATTGCTGAACGATAACTTATAAGTAACAGTGGAAGATCTTGATCCATGCTTTCTGAGGTTTGGCTTGGTTTGTTGTGAATTTCGCGCAAAGCTACACCATGGCTATCTGCACTAGCCGTCCCTAATTTAGCACTGATAGACTAGAGCAATGGTTCCCAGACTTTTGGCAATCACAGACCGGTAAAATTCCAAAAAAAACATTTTCAGATAAAGGACTTAGGCGACTTTTAGTCATCAAATATTAAAAAAAAAAAAAATGTAAAAAAACGTCATTGCTTTCAACAGTCAAGACACGTTGAGGACCGGTAGAAATTAATTGAAAGACCAGTAACGGTTCGCGGACCGTCGTATGGAAAACGCTGGATTAGAGGGAAGGCAGCTAGTAACCACCACCCATCGCCAACTCTTGGCCTATTCTTTTACCAACGAATAGTCGGATTAACCATCATATTATAACGCCGACTCTTG